AAACCCTACGGTGCCACCAAAAAAACTGTTAGAACTAATAAATGAGTTCAATAAATCAACATACAAAAATCAATTGTGTTTATATAAGCTAACAAGGAACTATCTGAAAAAGAAATTGAGAAAACCATCCCATTTATAGCACCATAAAAAAATAAAACATATAGGAATAAATTTAACCAAGGAGATGAAAGATATGTACACTTAAAACTATAAGATATTGATGAAAGAAATTATAAAAGACACAAATAAATGGAAAGATAGCCTGTGTTCATGGTTTGGAAGAATTAATAATATTAAAATGTCCATACTAGCCAAAGTGATCTACAGAGTCATAGAAGAACTCATAGAGGAAGCGAGTAGAACGATGGTTAGCAGGGGCTAGGTGGAGGGGGGAAATGGGGAGGTGATGGTCAAAGGATACAACGTTTTAGTTATATAAGATTAATAAGTTCTGGAAATTTACAGCACAGTGACTATAACTAGCAATATTGTATTTTATACTTAAAATTTGTTAACAGAGTAAATCTTATGTTAAGTGTTCTTATTACACAACAAAAAATAATAATAAAGGAGGAGGAAGGAAACTTTGGGAGATGATGGATATGTCTAGACTTTGATGGCAATGATGAATTCATAGGTGTATACTTACCCCCAAATTCATCAAATTATATACATTAAATATGTACCTCTTTTTACATATTAATCAAACCTCAATAAAGTGATTTTTTAAAGACTGTTTTTCCACTTAATTCTTTAAAATACGTAACACATTTTAATGAAAAAATAGTAGTGTTAGTTTTTAGGATTTAAAATGTATGTAGATGCAATACATAAAACATCTATAACAAAAAAGATTAAGGGGGGATGGACTTAAAGGAAAAATGTAAGCTTTCTACATTGTATATTGAAACATTACAAAATTAACTCTAAGGAGATGTGTAAAGGTAGAGACGTCTATTGTAGTCTTACACAAAATTTGTTGTATTTTCTCCTATTTTACATTTTGAATGGCATTTTAATTGAAATTGTGTTTTTATTTTATTTCCCAATATTTCATAGCAAGCTTATAGAAATACATTTAGATTTTGTATATTGACTGTATTCTACAATCTTGCTATGTTCACTTATTAGTTCTAATCACTTTTTGTTGTTATTGTTGATTTATTAGGATTTTTCTACATACATAATTGTGTTACCTGTGAATAAATATAATTTACTTGTTTTTCAATCTGTGTGTTTTGTTTCTTTTTCTTGCCTTGTTTCACTGGCTAGAACTTCCATACAATGTTGAATAGCATTGGTGGGAGTGGATATTGTTTTTTACTTTTTCCTAGAGCCAACTACAACTAGATCCAACAGCTCTTGCTGTAGTCAAAAGCCATTTATGGGATGATGCTGACAAAAACAATGTCAAACAGAAACGGAGTCCTCTGTCAGTTTTCCTGCCTTCCTGTCTCCCTCCAGTGCCCTCTATTTGTGGAACATAGAAGTAAGCTAGCCTGCAAAGGAGACACAGTTTGCAGTATGTCAGCTCCAGTATCACAAACCAGAGTATGGAAGAGTGTGTTTCAACTGAGCCAATAGCTTAATAACTTTGCCCTTGCACAACTGCATACATACTGGAAAGGAAGGAATCAATAAAATGAGAAGTGTTTTAATCCTATGGATGATGCTATTAATAGAAATGAAAAGTCAGCTGATTTTGAGGAAGATATATAAGAATCTAAATATAAAAATTTTGTGGAAAAAAATGTCATAAGCATTTAGTTATGAGATTGGAGCATGAGAGATAAAGGCTGGAGAATCTCAATGTGTACAACATTAGCAATATTTGAGAGGTTTGATGGTCAAGCTAAGAACCTGGAATTAGGGAACTAAGTACACCAACCAAAGAAGCTAAAATATACCGGAGTAGTGAACAGAAGGTAGGACAAAAGAATTTTACTTCTGCCTTACCCTATTGAGCACCAGTCAAACAAGACTCCCTCCCATTAAGTATGTTTCATTCATTTATTAAAAAAACATATTTTAAGGTCCACAAATGGGCTTAACATGCCAATCATGATATGCAGAATGCAAAGATCATAATCTTTCTATTTAGTAGAAGTTTAAGGTTTTAATTTAGGAAACAAGACAGGTACACAAAAATACTAATTTACAAAACACAGTGTTACATGCCATGATACTCTGGTATATGCATTAATTAATTGATTGACTGATTGATTGATTCAAACACATTTAAAGAGTCTCTATTATATATCAGACACTGTTCTAAGCACTGGGAATATAGCAGTGAACAAGTTAACGAAGATTTTTGCCTTAATGTAGTTTATATTCTAGCAAGGAAAACAATATAAAAATAAACAAATGAATAAATGATATGATTAAAGACACTGATAAGTGCTATGGAGGAAATAAATATGGTGATGTTGCAGAAAGTAACTGGAGAGAGGAGCATGCTACTTTAGATTGAATTGTCTAGGAAATCTTCTCTTAAGAGTGGGGATAAATGAATTCAGAGAAAATAACCTTTCTAGTTAGAATAATGGAGGATGCTTCGTGGAGATGGCAGAATTTTATTTTATTTTATTTTTTATTTTTTTTAAAGATTTTATTTATTCAGCTTTTTCGCCCCAAAGCCCCAGTAGATAGTTGTATGTCATAGGTTCACATCCTTCTAGTTGCTGTACGCGGGACTCGGCCTCGCGTTGGACGGAGAAGTGGTGCCTCCGGGCGCTCCCAGGATCCGAACCCAGGCCGCCAGCATCAGAGCGCGCGCACTTAACCGCTAAGCCACAGAGCCGGCCCGGCAGAATTTTAGGTTGATTACTCCAGAAGTGGTGCAGGCTTATTAGATCAGGTTAGAACAGAAACACTAAAAGCCATTAGGATACTAGAAAAGTAATCTAAAATTGAAATAAGAGGGGCCGACTCCATGGCTTAGCGGTTAAGTGCGCGTGCTCTGCTACTGCCAGCCTGGGTTCGGGTGTGCACCAATGCACCGCTTCTCTGGCCATGCTGAGGCCGCGTCCCACTTACAGCAACTAGAAGGATGTGCAACTACGACATACAACTATCTATTGGGGCTTTGGGGAGAAAAAGGAGGAGGATTGGCAACAGATGTTAGCTCAGAGCTGGTCTTCCTCAGCAAAAAGAGAAGGATTAGCATGGATGTTAGCTCAAGGCTGTTCTTCCTCACCAAAAAAAAAAAAAAATTGAAATAAGAGCTCAAGCTAGCATGGCTAAGTGAGAGTAAGAGTAATGAGATAACAATTCTGAGACAAATTGTAGAATTGTGCAGAAAGGCGCTATGGCAACATCAGCTCCATGTTTATCTTTTCAGTTAGTTCTTTTTTTTTTTTTTGTCTTTCTTTGTCTCTCCTTTTCTTGAATGACTATAGGACTCTTATCCCTCTAGATCCTTTTCCTGTCCTTCATTTCTCTTGCTCTCTTCTTTCCTGTTTCTTTTTTCTTCTCTCCCCTCCCCCTTTTGTCTAATTTGTTCATTTTACCTTTCACCCCTCCTATTTGTCTTCTTCTAAATCTCACTATTCTTTTTACCTGAAAATGACATAGAATTAAAAGTCATGTACCTGTCTTTTTTTATAAAAGTATGTTGTGTTCCCTGTGCTAAATTTAAATAGTGTGTGAACTGAATATTTTATATCTCTTAAAAATTTAAGATGTGTTCATTCTTCTGAATTTTATTGTTCATATAAGCCTGTTTTTTATAAAAATGTGTCCTATCTTAAGAAGCACAGAAGCATCATAACATGTAAAGTAGAGTTATTTGTAGAAGACTCCTCAAAGATGGATATATTTCACATATTTAAAGAGGTGAAGAATATAAACAAGAGTAGAGACTCCAAATGAAGATAAATCAGACTTTGTTCTATACACATCTAGCAAAAGATCTGAAATGTCCTCAAAGCTGAAATTGAGAGAACTCATTTCATCATGATTTACACATTTCTATGAAAGTCCATATTCCTCAGGCAAAATGTGGAATTTAGGATGTTTATTATAGTTATGTCCAAAATTGAGACGAACTGATCATTTTATGGAAACTAAATTAAGGCAGCCTAACATAAGTATTATTTGGTCATTATCAATAGAAAAACTTATTGACAGTGTACAAAAACAAGGAGAAGGATTTCTGAATTCCTTTGGAGAAAATGTTTCAAGATTTTGCAAGTACAGTAAATGTAAGAAGGAAGATGACAAAGGAAGACAACTTTTAGAGAAATGTTGCAAGAAACAGAAGCACAAGCCAATGGATAGTTTACCATAGGACAAAAGCAAATTTTAAGAACAGTAGATTAACTGAAGAATATATTTCACATGGCTGTTAAATAACCAAAAATCATGCAACATATAGAGACAAATATATCATATATTCAATTATGCTTATAAGCTTCAAAGTAACTTTTTAAACTTTTTTAGAAATAGTTTTGAACATACAGAAGTGTTTCAAGAATGAGTACAAAAAACATCCACTAACTCTTTACCTAGATTCATCTATTTTTAACATTTTGCCCCATTTGTTTTATCATTGATATAAACTTTTAATTCTTGGAGTTTTATTAATAATGTTAGCGAGAAGTAACCAGATTGCATCAGTAAGACAGAAAATTTTCTAACATTATAATCATAGAAAAATAAACCCTACATTTCAAGGGAAATGAAATTTGAAGGCTGCTACTTTTCTCTCATAGCTCTCAGGGCCTTTCTGATATCCTTGTTCCTCAAAGTGTAAATTATGGGGTTTAGCATGGGAGTGACAATACTATACAGTACCGAGATCAGCCGGTCTTTTGCCAATGAGTAAGATGAGATGGGTCGTACATATGTGAAGATGGAGCTGCCATAATAGAGAAGGACAATGACCAGGTGGGAGGCACATGTAGAAAATGCCTTTTGCCTCCCTTCTGATGAGCGAATCCTCAAGATGGTAGAGATGATATAAAGGTAGGAAAGGATGATACCCAGGAAAGGCACCCATCCAATGAAGACCCCAATGAAGAGTAATACCAACTCATTGACAGAAGTGTCCCCACAAGACAAGATCAGCAAAGGGGGGATGTCACAGAAGAAATAATTAATCTCATTGTTGCCACAGAAGGGCAGGCGGAACGTCAGTACTGTGTGCACCACTGAGTTGAGGAAACCACCAGTCCAGCATGAGGCTGCTAACTGGCCATATACAGCCTTATTCATGATAACTGAATACCTTAGAGGTTTGCAGATTGCAATGTAACGATCATATGCCATTGCTGCCAGCAAAAGACACTCTACTCCCACAAAGAAAAGGAATGCCAAAAGTTGAGTTATGCAGCCCCCATAGGAAATGCTTTTCTTCTCTGATAGAAGATGAGCCATCATTTGGGGGACATTGGTGGTGGTATAACAGATATCAAGAAAGGCCAAATTCCTCAGAAAAAAATACATAGGTATATACAGTCGGGTATCAGCCAATGTCACCAAAATAATGAAGATGTTTCCTCCCAGTGTACAGAGATAGATCATAAGGAATATGCTGAAGAGTAAAAATTGCAAATCATTTAGGTTGGAGAATCCTAAGATAATGAATTCAGACAGAGTTTGGTTTTTTCTTTCCATGATGTTTCCTCTCGGGAATTGAGAAAGGAGCAGTACAAATTGCAGTATTCATGTGCCAGAACAGCAGTAATCTACAAAACAAGAAAACATAGCTTTATAGATAAAATAATTATTATCTATATCAGGATAAACACTAGGGCATTTAGAATCCATGATAAATCATGGTGGTATGCAACAATCATCACATTAAAAAAAACACACATATTTAAACCTTTCCTATGGGACACATCTCTTTCAGAACATTAAGAGCATATTTACAGGAAAAAGTAAATATTAAAATTCCACATGCAGCATAAGAGCTATTTACATAGATGGGGAATGGCAGGCCGCTTGCCTCACACCTGTTGTATTTTGGAGATGGTGAATATCCATCAGACAATTTGTATAAGAGTTGTGGGGTTGTTTGAGTCTCTCCTTGTAATACCTCCTCATCCTCTTTGCATTCTTGAAGACTGCTTTTTATAGTTTTAATATAGGTTATATTTTAAGATAATGAAAGTGGAATAGAAAATGTAAAAAACAAGGTGGTACCAGAATATGATACTACGAACTTTGATAAAATTCATAAAATAAATAATAGTTTAGATTAGCTAGCATGTCCTGGAGCAGATTCTTAGAATCCATGGCTCTAAGACTTGGAGATGAGAATGGTATAAACAGAACTGATTACTGAAAGCACTCCCCAGTGGAAAGAACACTTGAGAATAGAAAAAAAAGACATCTTTTATGTCCCAGGTTTGGTAAATAAAACATTTCAAATGCTTTGTCTCATTTTAGCCTCAAACAGCCTTCCTCAGCCAGTACAATTCCTGTTATCTAGGATGGAAAATAAGTTTCATCTTGAATGCCAATTTTGATCAAAGTGTAGTGGCTACCCAAAACAGTGTTTATAAAATTATGTAAGGCTGTACTTTGGCTCCGAAAAAAATCAAAACAGAGTGCAGAGATCAATAGAAATTTCTGTCATGGGTACCATAGAAAATAGAACACCTTATATTTTCCTGCATTGTACGACATCGTGATATAATTTTGCACACAGAGTGGGTAATTTTAAAGTCAAATTTCTCTCTCTTTACCTGGTGTGGTCACCAACAGCTGCCTTGGACTTGGAACAATGATTATGTAGTCAATAAATTTTTGCTTTTTGAATATCCTTCACTAGTTCTTATCTGTATATCTCCAGACTTCAAAACATTTCTCTGTTCATCAAGAAGATGGAGACGACTCAGACCAAATACTCTAAGTCACCATTGCTCATCACTCATCTCCATCAAAATATTTATACTTCCCAACCATACTAATACAAACCACTGGTGGCAAAGGAAAATAGTCAAAACTGAACAGTGAGTTTGGCCTGACTCAATCCCATTGCTGGGTAAGCACCTCAATTATTCTCATCCTTTTGTTTTATAACAAGTTCATCTATTATTGATGGCTTTCCTCTGTTCCTAAATCACCAAGCTACTTTGAGTCTCTGCAGACAAATTTTCAGGTTGCAGAGTGTTTTGGGATGGAGAGATTTTTTAATTGAATCTACAGGTAGAAGATAGTGTCATCTCTAAATAAAAGTTTTCCACTTTTCTTTTATAGAAACTGACCAAGGTCCACATTTACTTTATATTCCCCTTTTTTTAGGTTTGTATATTTTTTCTAGTCATAAAAGTAAAATACATTAATCATAGAGTGCTTGGAAAATAAAGAAAATTATAAAGAAATAAGCTAAAATCATCCTTAATCCCACTGAATGCTAATTTTTTGTATGCATATATTTTTCTATGCAATATATTTATATGCAATAATTTTTCTATGCATATATATTTAAAATAGAGATGATTGTACATAATTTTCTATCCTGCATCATATTATGATATCTCTTCTGTCATTAAAAATTGTCGACAATATGGTTTTTAATGGTTATATTTAAGTCAATCATACGAACGCACCAGATTTGCATAAAGCCCAAAACTTGATGGTGGGCATTTTTTCCTTTTTTATTTTTATTTTTTTGCAGTTATAAATTATAATAATGAGCATTCAATTTCATACTATTTCTGCATATCTTTTATTATTCCCTAAAAGCACATTCCTAGAAAGTATAAATGGATATAAACATATTTACGTCTTTGATGTATTTTGCCAAATTACCATTTTTTAATATTATATTCTGAATGAGGGAAGTTACCATAAAGTAAGCAACCTTAGACAATATAATATAAATGAGAGAACACCTCTCATGACAAGAGAGTCAGAATCTTTGGGTCACCTCCTCAGTGCTACCGCCCACTGGCTATTTGAACATGGGAATATTATTTAAATTCTCTGGTTTTCAATTGATTCATATGTAAGATTATAAGAATTATCTGTCTCCAAAATTCCAGAAAATATTTAGATTTTATCACACAAAAATAACAGGTTAGTTTCACCATTATCCATACTGATGGCTTAATGTGATGAAGAAAAAAATTCTAAAAACTTAATTTCTCACCAACGGTTATGGCAGTGTGGTATCAGAATTAATGACCCAAGTAAATTAAGTATTCTAATAATGATTGCAGCATATTACAACTCAGAAAGCAAATATGAAATATAACATTGAGTAAAATAAATAATGCTTGGGACAGCATTGGCTCTAATGAGACCAAAGCCCACTGATCTTTCCCATTTCTAAATCTCTCCAGATCCGTAAAAAGTTTGAATTATTCTGATTCAGATGTTTTTGATAGAAGTCAGAATTTATAAACATTCACACACAAAATAAAGGAGAATTTTAAACCTTGATCTCTTGGATATAAGATAAAATTTTGTCTACATTATATACTTACAATTGTTAAAATAAAAAATAGTAAAGAAACTGGTAAGATATTTGTTCCCAAGGAAAACAACACAGAATCTAAGATGATAATTGGTAATTCAAGGCCAAATGATAAATTTCATTTGGCTTTTTATTTGTAATTATTTATGTTTCTTCTAAGTTGGTCAAACTATTTGTTTCCATAACACATGCTAGAAATGGATTAAGGCAGAAATAATATTTCATAGCAAATATTATTGAAATTTAGATTAAGACTGAGAATCTTGTTTTTAAAAATTATGGAATAGTTAAAAATACATTTAATCAACATAAACCATTTTATTTAACTTCATGGAAGCCATGTATTGTTTGAGTGTCACGAAAAATAAAGTTTTCATGAAAGAAATCTCTCATGAGTTAATCTACAAGGGGCAGTATTTGGCTGAATTCCATCTCAGTGGAGAATTGAATGGAAGATAAAGAAATACTAATCCCAAAGGTTCAGGCCTGGAGCTAAGGAAAAATATAAACTGGCTTCCAGAATTTCTATTATCATTAAAATGAGGGATTTAATCTGAATTCATTTACACAACAAACTCTTCAGCATCATCTGAATGCTTCGTCCTGTATACGAACAATAAACTCCCATTTTGGAAGAGCCCCATTTTGGAGAGTGGTTTGTTGTTGTTTGACCCAGTGAGGGTATTTTCATAGAGTGTTTAGATAAATAAACAAAGGGAGAAAACTCCATGATAGAGTACTTCCCATTAATCATTGAATTCTCTACAACTGATAAAGCTGCACATAACAATTGAAAAATCACAAAGAAGGCAGAAATCCTGAGACATTCTGCCTCTAAGTTTTCATCTGCTGCACCACCAGTCTCCATCTTCTCTCTCATATTGACACCTAAGTAACCCAGTGTTAACCATGGCTATCAGTGAGCATTATTGAGTGCCAGGCATTGTGCGTGGTGTCAAAAATTCAACGGTATATCTTGGACCATCTCTCATGGAACGTACAGTTGGGGAATCTATAATTCCAATTTGGAAGGAGCCTTTAAAAGTAGTCTAATCTGGCCACTGAAATACCCTGCACAGTTGTTTTGCAAGGTGATAATCCAACCTAACTGAACATTGCATTGATGAAAGATGAAAACCTGTAAAGGCAGCCTATTCCATCTTTAGACAAACCCAAGTGTCAGAAAATTCTTTTCTTCATTGTGCTTTAATCTTTATAACTAGCAGGATGGTTAAGCTCAGCCTCCTCCACCTGTTAGCTGTGTGAACACTAAAAAATTTCAGCTTTTCTACCCACTTACTAGCTGTGTGACCACTGACAAGTTTTAAAATTCCTCCTCCCGAATAAATGAAAATAACAATATCTTCATCATGGGAAAATTGTGAGCATTAAACAGGATAATGCATTTAGAATTTAACATAGTGTATAGTACATAATAATAAGGAGAAATGGCAGATGTTATTATTGTTATTTCACATATTTAGTCTTGGGTCTGCCTCTGAAACCACAGGTAAAGTTTGCTCCCTCTTCTACATAAAAGATTTTACTATGTGAAACTTTAACTCTCCAGACTAAATACTTCCATTTCATTTGTTTTTCATATAATATGGATTTGATAAGAATCACTTATGTCAAATCATATCAGTATGTTCTATCTTCTAGCAAGATTTTTCCGTTTTCACTGACATGGACTGAAAGATTTGTCCCTTTTTAAAAGAATTCAAAATATCAGCAGAACAGATGTTTGGAGAGCCAAACACCTTTCCTGTAGCTAAAAAATTACACAGTGGGGCCAGCCCCGTGGCTTAGCGGTTAAGTGCACGCACTCCGCTGCTGGCAGCCTGGGTTCGGATCCCGGGTGTGCACCGATGCACCGCTTCTCCAGCCATGCTGAGGCCGCATCCCACATACAGCAACTAGAAGGATGTGCAGCTATGACATACAACTATCTACTGGGGCTTTGGAGAAAAAAATAAATAAAATAAATTAAAAAAAAATTACACACGGAAGGAAGCTACAGAGTTTACATACACTTGGGCTGCCCCCCACACCCAGCACCAAGGCAGACATCTTGATTGCCTCCCTTAAATACGGTTCCATGAGATCTTTAATTTCCTTTTTTCCTAACCATTCCCCTACTGTTTTTCAAAGAGTATAATTGAAGAAAATCATAAATCTAAGAATTAAG